TTGCGTGCATCTCCCGTTGATTCTGTAGCTATACTTTCATCAATGCCATTTATAATGCTTCATTATCAGTTTGATTGACCTCTATTTCTCGTAAAGTGCTTGTGGCAGGAACAAGGGAATGATTTCTGTGGATACTACATGTGCGAGTTCATCCACAACGCGACTTTGAAAAACAAGCGGGGCTACTCTCAAAGACAATATGAAGTGCGTAAGCAATAATATTCACAATTTCATTTTATTACACCATCATTTCTGTTGACTTTCATTCATATATATGTATTAATTAACCCCCTTCTTCAAATTAGATGTGGCAGATGCGGAATGAACTCATAGAACCAGATCGCATGAAAGCAATTCAAGAGGAATTGGCGGGATTCTTTCTTGACCACGTCATCAATAAAGCCGGAGAATACCATGTGGAAGTTGATTTCAAATGCTAGGGGACTATAATTGAGATATCTTACATATTGTACATGTATGTAGCCCGTCGGATGTACATGATACGAAAACTTGTTGTTCGACCAATCTCTCGGAGAAGGAGAGGTCGATCAATCATTTCTCTCGGTATGCATGACGAACTTCTGTACTCAATGGTTCCCTTCATTTTCTTACTAGCTAGCGTGTCGAGGGCTATATGTATATAGTACGTAGCGTCGACCAAGCACGAACATAAGAGAGGACACTTCTCTCTATTAATTAGCTAGCTAACACAATATATGAAACACCTAAATTAACCCCCAAAACTCCCAAACCCCCCCCCCCTTCAAAAACAAAAACAAAAACCCCAGTCACTGGAATGCTGACGCGTGGATGCCTTTTGGTCCCGGTTGGTGCCACCAACCAGGACCAAAGGCCCCCCTGCCAGGGCTCGGCGCACCGGCCACGTGGAGGACCATCTGTCCCGGTTCGTGTTTGAACCGGGACTAAAGGGGGAGGTATTAGTAACGATCCATTAGTCCCGGTTCATGAACCAGGACTAAAGGACCTTACGAACCGGGAAAAATGCCCCCTTTTCTACTAGTGGAGACGATCCGCTTTTGTGGTGGATTTGGAAACCAGACTGTTCAAGCAAGGATGGTGCGGCAGCGGCGGCATCCTCGTGGTGGACCTGTGTCCTCGGGCTTCGCTGTTGCGACGGTGTTTGCTCCAGCACCGGCGTGGAGCTTGGGAGGTAGTCCAGGAGCGGATGCAGATTGTGGTCTGCATCGACGGCATCTGGAAGATGGTGGATCTGGGTTCGTGGTTCGTGGCATGCAGGTATGGTTTCCTCCTCCAACGTCTTAGTTGGATGGGGGTGCCAGATCTGGAGTTCGATGGCGTGTCCGGGGTGTTGCCCCGGTCTGATTCGTTCAACGGCAATGGCTTCGCCTTTATTGACGAGCCACCTTGGAGGTCCGCAAAGCTGCATATCAGCGATGGAGCCGCCTCGAGCTCGAGTGTGGAGGTGATCCGTCATTTTCTCCTTTGGTGGCTGCTATGGTGGTGCCAGAGGCAGGTGACGGTGTTGGTGTCAAGCTCAGAGGATTCTTCAGTCTTGTTTATAATTTTACTTCTTGGCTGATGTTCATGTGTGCAAAGGCTAGCGTTCTGCTGTCTTTTCAGCTTTGTCAGATCGGTATGTACGTGACTTGTATTATGGTCGTTATGATATAAATGAGACACGTATTATCATGCAAAAAAAACAACGAACAACACTCCCACTAGAAGTGTACTTTACCAAGGTAAAGGGCAAATATAGTGTCAGAAGCCCATGTTCACACACAAAGGAAAATTAAATCTGAAAAAAAGATTTAATTTAAAAACATTTAAAAATAATCTTTGAGATGCTTATGGATATTCATGAACAAACACGCATTGTTATTTTTATAGAAAAAAAAAGTTAGTGCTCCATTTAGGCAAATGCTTAAGTGTTACAATTATTATCTTTTCATTGGGCAAAAATTGACCGGTTTTACATGAATAGTACTTCCTCTCTCTCAGTTTATAGGGCGTGTGCGTATCTCTAGATCGTCAATTTGACCAACCTAATACAAGTCATATATTATAAAAAGTATACCAATATAAACTTCAGATGTTCTATTTTCAAACCGTATAATTTTTGTGTTATATAGTTTATATTAGGGTGATAAAATTGGCAACCTAGGCATACGCGTAGGACTTGTAAACTGAAATGGAGGAAGTATCAAGAAGAAAGAGGACTTGGCTATTTGGCCAATTTTAGTTTGACCCGAGAGGTTATTTATTGCTATGATAAGTGCTTAATACTGACAAATTTGCGCCAGCGTTGAGGCTACGGTGTCCATGGTATGAATGGACAGAGCCAACAAAGTTGTGGGTTGGCATGGGAAACCCATGTGACCAGGACGACCTTAACTTCTTCTATGCATCCACCACCATATCATTTTGGGCAATGGAGCTAAACCGCCTTTCTGGGACTCCCCTTGGCTCCTCGACCGCAAGCCTAGGGACATCGCCCCCTCATCGACGACGCGTCCAGGAGAAAAAGTTGGAAGGTGCATGAGGCCGGCAAGGAAAATGCTTGGATCTTCAAGATCAACCCAGCCACCATGGTGTCCGCGTAGCACATCAGTCAAGTCTTCACCTCATGGATGCTTATTAATGATTTCCACCTTGACGACCACATCGAGGATGACATCGTGTGGAAGCTTGCGGAGAGTGGGCACTACTCTGCGGCCTCGGCTTATCGCGCGCAATTCTTGGGGAGAGTCATGTCACCTCTGGACTCCATGCTTTGGAAGGCTTGGGCGTCGCCGAAAGTTAATTTTTTTGCTTGGTTGGCCATCCAAAACAGGATCTGGACGGTGGATATATTGGCCAAGCGAGGTTGGCCAAATTATGGTATTTGTCCTCTTTGCAAAAGGGTCTAGAAAACCAGAGCACACTTGCTTTTCAATTACCTTGAGGTTATGGAATTTGATCAAAGAGTGGCTCCACCTTGACGGCCTTGACAACCACCAGACTGCGTATTTAAGGCTAACTAGCAAGGACGATAGTTTTCGACTTGTAGTAGAGTGAACTTAAGGATAAAAAAATAAGTTACTCCAAAAGCAGAGAAGAAAAAACACGCGTGCAGTAGCTCTTGCCTTTTTGCAATAAGATTGTTTAACATGATTTCAACTGTACATAATTTTTTTGGCGTCTCAAACTTCCTGTAAAATTGGTAGACATATGACAATATACCAATGTGGGCGTGCCCGGACGTGTCCGGGACTCTCATATTCGTCTCAGATTTGAGCTGGATATGGGGAGTGTTGGTCAGTTCGGACGTTTGAGCCGGTTATGAGGAGCTCGTTGGGTGCCAAATTTCTATTCAGTCGTTTGAGATGGATATGAAAAGCCTAGTTGTAGATGCTCTAAGTTGCCCCACCATTTGGTCGTGGAATCTAAACCAGTTTGTCAAATTAGTGTAATCTAAACTAGTTCAGCAAATTAATTTAAACCGCAAAGACTTTTGAGCAAACAAGAGAGAAATAGCCTACAAGACCTGACCGACGTCCAACCGACACCCTCTCTTCTTTCTTCTGCCGTTTATTTAAGAACTACTCTAAGAGCGTTTTTTATACTCCCTCCGGTCCTTTTTACTCTGCATATTAAGTTTGTCTGAAGTCAATCTCATCCAACTTTGACCAAGTTTATATAAAAAATTATAGACATTCACATAACAACACGAATATCATTAGATTCATCTTGGAATATATTTTCATATTATATTTCTTAAATATTATAGATGCTAATAATTTTTAATATAAATTTGGTCAAACTTAGCAAAGTTTGACTTTCGGCAAAACCAATGTGCAGAGTAAAAAGGACAGGAGGGAGTACTACACTACTCTAAAAAAAACTCTTATATCACCAAGAAATCAGGGCCAGTTCTTTTGGGCAATTCTCTCAGAATTGACCCCCTCCCCAGCTTCTCCCAGAATTGACACTTAATATTCTTTTACAATTCCTAGCTAATTAAGAATATTAAGTGGCAATTCTGAGAGAAGCTGGGGAGGGGGTCAATTCTGGGAGAATTGCCCAAAAGAACTGGCCCTCAGAATCTTTGCCTCCAGGTGGTGCACTGTCGCTGTCGGGACGCTCCCACCTCCACCCAACAACTCTGTGACTGTGAAGTGTATCAGCAAAAGTCCGTAGAAACTAAACAGGTACCACCATTTGAACGCGACAAACTCGTTCATGCACAAAAATGGCGCACCGATTGGTCCAGCGCGACTGAACATCTTTTCTTTTTGCAAAGGAAGAAGTTCATCGCCTGAAAAAACATCAATGAAAGCAAAGAATAAATCTACCACAGAAGAGAGAAGGCAGGCACGGATCTCCAGAAGTACCCACCAGCTTGTTCGTCCTCGTGCTCTCCGCGCTGTTCCCCGGGCCGCCGCGTCGCTCCAAGAAGCCAGCGGCACCAAAAGCCCTGCCGAGTGAGTGAGGGATAGCAGAGCAGGAGCGTCCCGTGGAGCCTCCTGCGGCCCGAGGAAGCGGTGGCCTGAGCTCGGAAGCAGCTCCGCCGACCGCCGGATCTCCCGGCCGACCGCGCGCGCCGGCGCGGCGGCGGCTCTCCCGGTTGGTTGCCGACGCCTGACGGGGACAGACAAAGTGGTTGGTGGAGGAAGGGGAAAGGTGGGGTCTCGTCTCGCTTCCTTGTTCCTGCTTTAGCATCTTTTGCTCGCACATGTCGAGTTTGGGATCTTTGCCTCTTCTAACAGACAGCAGCATTTCCAGACCTCTTGTGTATGATCCTAGTAACTGATCCGAGAGGTTACTGACTTACTGGTTAATCCCGTTAATTTGCAATTGCCTGCCCCATGATGTCATCGGGGCTGATGAATTCCGTGCATTGTTTGGGCGAATTCAACCTCAGGGCATCGTCTCACTGGTTAATTATGCACGATTTTCGGCATCTGATGGTGAGCTTGCAGAACGAACACACAAAAGTATCCTGATTTTGCTTTTATATATGTTCTGCTAGGTAAGGAAGCATGGCGGCGAGGCATCTCCTCCTCCTCCTCGCGCTTGTCTGCCTACATGCTCCTTCTCACTCGGCTTCGGCTCAGCAGCCGGAGGAGGCGACGGTCATAGTTAAAGGATCCACTAAAATTGCTCAGACGGATGTGAATTACATCTGCGCCACCATTGACTGGTGGCCGCCGGAGAAGTGCAACTACAATCAGTGCCCCTGGGGCCAATCTTCCATTCTGAATTTGGTACGCTTATGTTCCTGACTTGTTGTCAGTAAGTAACAGGCTGTTACTGAAGCACATTGTGGTTCGTGGACAGTGGACTGACTTACTTTTCGTGTTCATGCTGTTTCCAACAACTGCTTTGTTCAGGATTTGGATCACCCCTTTCTGGCTCAAGCCATTCAAGGTATGAATATTTTAGTCTTCATTCAGTAGTTGCTTCTGGGTCCATGTTAATTGTTTTTCTAGACTATGTACTATGATCTATGCTCATAGTTTGCCCGCCCACTGCGAATTTTGTATTCCAAACAAGGTTATTTTCTCTCTGCAATGATACTATCGCTTGTTACGGTCTCTAGTTTATCAAGCATCATGTAGTTACAGTCATGTCAGTGGATTATAATTATTTGTACTTGCAGAAATCTTTTTGTAATTGTAAGCATTAGTTGGTTAGTTTGATGAATATATAAAAAGATCTTCTTTATTCTGTCTGCAGAATTTCATAATTTGAGGATTAGGCTGGGAGGCTCTTTGCAAGACCGAGTTGTTTACGATGTTGGGACAAATAGTCCGTGCTCTCCATTCACAAATGTGTCAAATGGTTTGTTTGGTTTCTCAGCCGGTTGTCTAAGTATGGATAGGTGGGACAAACTGAATGATCTATTCCAAAAAACAGGGTGAGGCGTGTAATATTAAGTTTTTTTTTAATTTAGCATGCATAACTTGTGTCAGATGTTCACATATTTGTGCTCACATAGCCATAACCATGTGATATTGCATTTCCATCATTGTTCTAGATGTTTTTTTAACCTACTCATAGTTGATGAAAATCACTAGCAGCGTCGTTTTTTCTGCATGTCTTCAACATTATATTTTGTTTAGGGAGGAGATATGGTAAAAGTGAACCCAAGCCAGATGAAGTTATCAGCATAACCAAGTGAAATATATGTACAAGGAAATGATGTGCACAATGAGGGACTCCTAATGGAGTTGCATGTGCTTGATTAGCATCATTTGTTCATTTTATAAACACTCAACAGAACTAGCTCATGAATGAACAAAAATCTATCTGCAGAGCAATTATCACATTTGGTCTGAATGCACTCCATGGAAGGTACAATGTCCAACGTTCCTTCTGGGCAGGGAAGTGGAACTCTACAAACACCTATGATTTTGTCAAATACACAATCTCAAAAGGATACCCAGTTGACTCGTGGGAATTCGGTAATCTGCTGTATTTTTTTTGTTCTGTGCTCAGCTCTTCTATGTTTATCCCTTCTGAATTCTGAAGGGTTGAATATTCTTTTCTTGTCAGGTAATGAGCTGAGTGGGCATGGAACTGGCGCAAGAGTTGATGCCAAACTTTATGGAAAGGATGTAACTGAACTTAAATCCATACTCCGGCAGTTGTATAGGGCACCGCTCTCCCAACCACTCCTGTTAGCTCCTGGAGGATTCTTTGATCAACAGTGGTACACCCAGTTACTTCAGACTTCAGGTCACGGTGTTGTTAATGCCTTGACGCATCACATTTACAATCTTGGTGGAGGTATGTGATATGTCGCTTTTGCTCTGGTGGCATTTAGAAAAGGCTCATTTTGGTGCTCCAAGATCATATCTTGATGTTTTGCATGACTATCAGAAGAAATGGCTCTGAGAATTTTGTAGGCAGGACTTCGCTAATGTTATGTATACATGTCTTACTAATGGTTGTCCCCTGCAATAAAATAATACATTGCCGTGCTGTTTTAATCTGGGTGCTTCTTGTGATACATAATGTGAAGGAAAGGCATCATGAAATTCCTAAAAAAAAGGCTTACATAAACTGTTTTTTGAAGGAATAGCAAGCTCTTTCTTAACATCCTAATACAGTAGTACTAGTATTTATTCAACCAGTTGATGTGATTAATATATAGAATGCATCAGCGCTAACACTTTGTTTTCAGGGGATGATGTCCACCTTATGAGGAAGATAGTAGATCCTAAGTACCTAGATCGTGCTGAAGACACTTACCGGGACATGCAACTTACCCTTCAAAGGCATGGAACATGGGCTTCTTCTTGGGTTAGTGAAAGCGGTGGGGTGTTCAACAATGGCCGTCAACTGGTGTCAAATACTTTCATGAACAGCATCTGGTCAGCTCTCAACATTTTCTCATGAACTTTACACAAGTACAACATTGGTGTAGATGTATCTTTTTTTTCTTGCAAAGGGTGTAGATGTATCTTGTGTGAGCAAAAAGTCATGACGTAATTTCGACGCAAACAGGTACCTCGATCAACTTGGAATGGCATCGAAGTACAACACAAAAGTGTTCTGCAGGCAGACTCTCATCGGTGGCAACTACGGTCTGCTTGACACGCAGACATTCTTACCAAATCCTGATTACTACAGGCAAGCCTCACACTAGTAAACTGCGGTCGCCACAGTGTTTCCCAGAGCACGGCTCATATGTGCTGACCCCTCCTTTTGTTCTCAGTGCTCTGCTGTGGCATCGGCTTATGGGCAATGGAGTTCTCTCCGTCGATATAAATGCACCGCGTAAGCTGCGTGCTTATGCCCACTGCACCAAGCGACACGTAAGAATCCGACGCTTTCACCTTCTTAAAGCGGAACTGGTTGAGATAGTTTCAGATATTCTTAGATTTGTTGCCAACTTTCAAGTGATATGGCTATTCTACTTAGTTTGCTAAGTTTGTTGTGTCTGAAGAGTTACTTCAACTACCATTGAAACATGTGCTAATTCAACCATTTATGTCGTTCTGAACAAAGCTTGCTTATTCCACAATGCAGAAAGGAATCACTATCCTCCTGATCAACCTAAGCAACAGCACCGTGTACAACGTGACCCTCCAAAACGACCTCAACGTGAGCGTCGAGAGGAGAACCGGCCACCGGAGGCGCAGCAGCGGCCTCAGAAGAGCAGTGTCATGGCTGGGAAGCAAGCCGTCGAGCGAGAGCACGAAGAGGGACGAGTACCATCTGACCGCCAAGGACGGCGACCACCAGAGCAGGACGATGCTGCTCAACGGCGTCCCGCTGGAGCTGGGGGACGGCGGCGGCGTGCCAGCCCTGAACCCGGTGCCCGCCGCCGTGGATTCGCCCGTGCACCTGGCCCCGACGTCGATCGTGTTCGTGGTCCTGCCGAGGTTTGAGGCCAAGGCCTGTTCTTGAGTGGAGAAAGTTCTTTATCACAAGGACATTTTCACTTATCACCTTGAATCGGCATTTTCACTTATCATCCTGAATCTTCTTCGCCGTTGAGAGCATCCTAACTTCAAACTAACAACAAAGGGGAAAAGTCTCACGGCCGAGCCACAGATCACCACATTCATCAGTCAGGAATGATGCAAGCATGGCGGAGATGAGATCAAAGTAGATAGTTTTGGAAAAAGTCGCTATTATTCAAACAGCTACCCGCAGATTTTAAATTACCAGTTCTGTACATTACAGAATTAAAAGTTTAAATTCATGTTTGTTGGGGCCTCCTCACAAAGAGGAGACACCCTCCAAAAATTAGGGTATGCTGCTTAGTGTGGCGTGCACACGGTATTCTCTACTATTAAAGCAGAATCGAACGTCGTGATAGTTCGACCTCCTCCTTACCTTCTCCCATCGAGAGATCCCGCGCAGAAAAAAATCGCTAGGAAAGAATCCACGTTCAGCCCACTTTTTTCCGGTACGATAAAAAAGAAAAGGAAAACAACCTCCGTAAGAAAAGCACCCACGAGGCCACGACTAGGCACAGACATCCCCCGCCCCGAACTCTCTTCCCCAAACTACCCATCCCATCTCTCGCGAGAAAAATTCCCTACCGCCGTCCAGATCGGAGATCACCTCGGCCTCCTCCACCACGCGCCCGCTTCCTCCCATGGTCGTGTCCTCCCGACCCACCCTCCTCTTCGCTCACCACGCCGGCGCAGGCGGTCACGCGGGCGTCCATTGATCTGCAACTCTCACCGCCTTCATAACGCTCAAGCGCCGCCCACGGATAGACGATGGCTTCAGCCGTGTCAACGAGGTCGAGGAGTCCCTTGACCTAGCCCTTGCCCTCACCTTCGTCGGAGGCCTCGCCCATCTCGATGGGGCCGGTTACTTATCTCTCGGGGATGCCCTGCCCTCCCCTGGCGTGCTGGGGACCGATGATGCCCTGTCTTCCCCTGGCGTGCTGGGGATCTGGTGGCGCCCGTCGAACGTCGAGAGGTGGCACAGCCCCGCCACACACTTGTTCCTCCTCCTCAGGATCCTCAATTCCTCATCTAAAAGGTTTTGCCTGCGTGCGTGTGCCTCTGGTTTCATTCCTGAATTAATCTTATCTTGAAGTGTGGTTATTGTGCATGTCTGTTTGTGTTCTCAAGGCATTCAACCTCTGCTTTAGCTTCTTGTGCAAGTTTATGTGGATGGAACTACCACCATATCCACCCAGCCTTTTGGTTTGGTCTTGTGATGCTGACGCACATTGTCTTTCATGTTCCTACTATCTGCCTTTCAGTTTTGACTTGTGATGCTGACGCACATTTTCTTTCTACAGCTGTGATATTTCCCTCCTTTATGGATGTATGGAACTGCGTGAATGGGACAGCGAAGCCACTGTCATGAAACTTGCAGAATGATGACAGAGATATCGAAAGATTTTCTAAAATGAGGTGTGAAATAAAAGGCAAATGTGAAGCTCTTGCATCAATCCTCAGACTGATTCCTGCAAATTTTCCTACAGAACTACAACATGGTAGTCTTGAAGTAAATACCATTTCTTTTATTTTCTATGTGTTGTTAGCACAATAGATAGTTAATATTGTTTTTCCTCTCAAGTTCAAGATGAAGACGACCAGTTAAGAAAACAGTTTGGTGAGATAGAGTGGCAGGTTTGCTAGAATCACTGTAGCTGCTTCTGCCGCAAACTTACGTTCATGCCTATGACATCTTCTGGGATCTTTGTTTTAGGAAACTATTTTGTTTACACCTTCCTATTGGCATGTCTATGGCAGCAGTGAAACTTAAACGAACACTTCTAGGCTAGATATTATTAATGTGTACATATATTGGTCCTTTACATGGATCTTGCCATCTTTATTTGCCAGTCATTTCAACTATTTGACAAACTTGAAGGCAAGCTCAAGGAAATGCATCATTACCTTTTAGTATTATTTTTGAGTTGTTGGAATCAATCTGGAAAACATCTTCCTATTGTAGATACAATATTTGCTGGTTTGTAGTCTGATACTCTGTTTGACATTACAAATTACGGAAATACTTAGATTATGCTTATGCCACTGTGCTGATAGAGATTGGCTACTTAATAGTATGGAGATGACAAGATCGAAAAGGACGGTGATATAAGGAAAGCGGGGAGTGGAGGAGGAAGAAAGTTGGGATGCCAATTATAAATAGGTTAATACTTCAAATCTTTATGCACTAAGGTATTCTTTGTGTTAGAAATAATTGTTTAAAAGGCTCATGATTTTGGCGAAACTGTATGATGTATGTGTGTTCCTTCACATGGACAAATATGAAAGGGTACCCATTATGAAATCATAGACCAGTGATGTATCATTTCTTTGTCTTTCTTATTGCAAATATGGCTCACATGGCCGCGCTCTGCAGAATATAGAGTTTGATGATGATGATGATTGGAACCAAGAGGAGGAAGCAAGTAAGTTTCATTTGATTTTCTATTCATGAGGTTACAGTAACAAGATATGTAAAGTCCGGATTGGTTTACTTATCACTTGTATGTTCCATACTTGCAGTTTTTCAGTACTTTCGTCTTGTTGCCTCTCAGTGTATCACTAAATAATCAGTGTTTTTGGGTACTTGCTTGTTGTTGCCTTTCAGTGTATCACTAAATAATCAGTTGACCGGTGTTGGCAATGTTGCATCGATTCTATTTATTTCTGGTTCTGTATGCCTCCCAAGCTATAACTTATACCCAAAATTATTAGCATACAAATTGGTATCAGTTGTGGGAGACTCGGCCATGCCGACAATGCCTCCAATGTGGTGGCGGTCATGGTGGACGCCACCATGTGAGCTTCAGCTCATTGTGGTGTAGCCGGAGCGATTTCCTTCGCTGTTGAAGTCCGGGAAGATTTTTATGTGAATGCAATCCTGTTTTGCTAGGTCCCTAGCATTATTAATTTTATTTTTCTGCCAATAACAACCAAGTAATGTGTGCATGTCCACGCCTTGGAGTAATTCTCGGTTAGTTAGATCTGACCGCTGCATGTGCTTCGTGGGATGCCACGAATCCAGTGCAAGCAACGTTATTGTCGTTGGGTTCAGGTGGACATGGGATGGTTCATTTGATATACCTACTCACTAGCTACTTTCTCTCTTTTTCAGTAGCACTTGACCATATAAATAAGAGAAAAAAACCAGAAAACGCTGCAAGATTTTTACGCAATGCAAATTACTTGTCTGCGTGCTCGCGCGTGTTTATACGTGCGCTTGTTCTTTTGTGTCCAAATACTTGTGTAGTGTTGTGAGAGAGATTCTGCAACTTCAGTTTTTGTCATGCAGTTCCTTAAAACGTATACATCTCTTGCATCCTTTAGATACATCATGTGTACAGGTATATGTACAGGGAGCAAGTGCCACATTGCTACATTTAATGCTTTGGTGTGCTCTCACGCTCCATGCCATTGTCCCATGCTCTAAACTGTAGATATTGACTATGATATGAAATTGTAATTGCTCATAATTTATATTTTTGACACAAGGCAGGAGCCAAGAACATCTGTGTGACATGGGAGCTCTTAACAATGGTTAGCGTATGGTTCGCAAGTTATTTCTCTGGTTCATCTCAAATTGAGCGTCTTGATACTTCATATGAATATTTGGTTGTAACAAATTGTTTTCCGCAAGTCACAATTTTTTGTATGCAAGAAATATGTATAAAATTCCTCAAAGCATTGTAGATAAGCAGCTTCATATGTCTGAGTGTCTGATATGCCTTTCTTTTTCAGTTTTTCCTGCCAGAAAGAAAGCAAGTGACCTATTTAATCTCAGAGATATGTCCCATTATCAGTTTTGAGGAGTCATTGTTCCAGTCACACAAAATGTTGACAGATGTATCATTTACAATGACCATTCAATTGTAATTTCAGTGCCATGTCATAAAATTTCAATTCACCAGTTCAGCCCCTTCCATAAGGTAGTTCTCTTTCTATGATCTGAAATCACAAAATCCATTGCTTGTGATTTAGTCGTCTATACCAGCATAGCAAATTAGCAATTGTAAATGATTGCCTATGGCGGTGAAGTTATGTGTTGCTACAAAATCTTTCTCTGCCAGTCTCAATGGGGCGAAAAAGTCATCAAGTTTATTCATTCATACAATTCTTTTTGCTTTGCAGATATTGGATCAACAGTTGGAAGTGAACCGTGCAATACATCACTCTAATATTAGTTATAATCGGCTGACCATGTAGGATGTACCGCTTGTGATGTATTACACTCCATATCTCCTTACAATTTGTAGCGTGAAATTTTTATTCCTCTCATTTGTCCATTTTTTTTGTTCTATCTCTTAAGCTGGTGAATAGGAAGTTATGTTGTTTCAGATGCTTACTGTGTGATGAAGCAGATGGTGTTCCGAAATCCAGCATCTGACACCTGGTTTTGGTCTCAAGACTGCAGTAAAACAACGGAACAAACATGGTTCGCTGCAAAATTTACTTAGGCTCTGTTTGGTATCTCTCCACTCCGCGGAGCTGGGTTTTCGCTGCTCCGTTAAAATAAGCTGTAGGCTGGTCCGCTCCGGGAGCGGAGTCAGAGGAGCGGAGAGAAACCAAGCAGGCTATTAATACAACTATAGTTAGAAATTTAGGCAAGGAGCACGCCCATGATCTGAGGAGGAACATAGCTGATCTTCATTAGATCTACTTCAATTACTCAGAAAAACCGATATTTTTTTTAAAATAATGTTCTTCGCATTAGGTGCCTAGAGTTTTAAGTGCTTTGCACTAGCACCCTGTAGTCAGCCTTTCTTTATGTGCTATTCAGTCCAACAAGAAAAACAAAATGGTAGAGCAAAAGTAAATCTTCAGAACATATATTTTCTAAATCCGTGGCAACGCACGTGCATTCAGCTAGTTTCTTTAGTAAAAGGCGAAAGAATAGTTCGCTTTGTGCTCACCACGCAGCTGCGTGCTCTCTCCATTCCACCACAGCTG